TCTTATTTATTTCTGCTCTTTGTTATTTCCTTCCTTCCACTAGCTTTGGGCTTCCTTTTGCCTTCTTTTTTCTCATTCCTTAAGGTATAAAGTTAGGTCATTCGTATTTCTATTTTTTGTTGAAGTAAGTTGTGCTCTAGTCTAGAAATAAAAATTATTTGTTTTAGGTTTATATTCCTGTATATTATCAAAAGATGTGCTGGGCTGCAGTTTATTACTAATATTTCCTTTTTTTCTTCTAAGATTCAGAAGACCACATTTATGATATCTAAAAGGATAAAACATATCCAAATGGGGAATATGTCATCCATTACCCCCAAGATCCAGGCTAGATAAACAGAGATAGTGAGTGCTTCAACAGTAAACCTGACTAACAGCTTACAAAATTAGCTTGAACTAAAGAGCTTACATTGAAATTTATTTATTAATTATATCACTTCGCACAGTTGCCATTACATTATTCACTGACTGATAAGGAAGACTTTCAATATCTTATGGACCAGGAGAGCAATTCCAGTACAAACAGCTAAAGAGTAACCCTGGTTATACAAATCACACTAAATAGCCCTAATTTTCCTCTAAATTATCATTTTAAGACCACTGATACTTTCCATCCTGAAATATGCCTACTGGAACCAAGTGATATTCAGTTACTTTTTAGAAGTAAAAGTAACCCAAAAAGGAGATTTCCATACAGCACAATCTAAAAAAGGAAAATCATGATGAAGAGCTTTCCACAGTAATGTTGCTAAATTTAAACCATGTTGCTTCCCAAATATTTACCTATCAGGCACCATCACCACCACCATCATCATACCATTTACTGATTATGTAAGAGCAAAATAGTTGCCCTGCATCATTAAAACATAAATGAACAAACATAAATAAACAAACTCTTGGTCATATCATGCCATTCTCTTCAATGTTTCCACTCAGAAAAAAATCCAAATTCTCCAACCACACTCACAAGAACTCCAGATCTGTGTTTTCCTCCTTACACCTTACAGCTACAGCTCACAGGCCACTTCCTCAGATTCTCCCCTGCCTACCCAACCTCAACTCTGCACCCCCTTTTCGCACAGCACCTTCTTCTTTTCCTTCACTGTGCTTTTTCACAATGTGCAGTTAAACATATATTCACATGATTATTTTCTGTTTGCCTATCTGCTAGACAATTAGCTCCATGCAGGCATATTTTTTTGACTGTGGTATATCTAATAGCTACCATGATGTCTGGCCATAGAAAGAGCTAGCTAGATAAATATTTGGTGAGCAAATGAACAAATGAATAAATTGCTAAATACCTATGTCTGTGTAACAGAAATGCCAAAAGTAAAACAGGACTTAAGGATTCTGTCTTTTAAAACACATTATGTAATAGGAGAAGTATCTTTGAGCAAATATGTACACAACTAAAGATTACACAGATTACACAACAGTAGCACATATTTGTCATCTTCCTCTGACTTAGCTAGGACACTCGCATGCACGGAAAACTAAGAGGTCCCCCTTTCCCAACTGCCACTACCAACAGCAAAGCGGTACTCCCTGTTTTGCCCCCAGACTGTGGGGCAGAGTGATTATGGCAGAGGGAAGAAACAACATAGTCACAAGGCCAAGGGTTCAAATTCTACTAATGGTAACCACATCCTTCTATCTAGCTCTCATGTTTATAACTCCAATCAAAGATGACCCTTTCATTACCAATACTGCATAATCAGAACTTTCAGAGCAGACAAACCACTCTTGATAAGGTCACTCTGATGGGAAATGGGGTGAGCAAGAAAAAGACAAGACAAACAATCCAGCAGGGCTTGGGAAGGAAGGGCCCAGAGCCACAGACTCACAAAGAGCAGGCGCCTAAAGGTACCAGAGAAAGGTAATCTGGGGTGAAGTCAACAACATAAACGGAAAAGCCACGTGAACTAACAACTGAGGCAAGTAAGGACAAGCAAAGGGGCCAGATGTCTTGATGGAATAAGAAGTAAGTGTAAAAACAAGTAGAATGAACTGGAGATTATGATCACTTTCAAGTGTCAATGGGAAAAGTGGAATGGAAGGGGCAGTCACTGAAACTGAGTTAAAGCACTCTATGAACCATGGATGCCAATGTATGTCTAAACAGGGATTGGGAAGAAAGAAAGATTGGCCTGCCTAGGCACTGAATCACTGAAATATGCAGGAGAGTGAACTGCAGGTCAGGGAGGTCAGGAGTAGGGATAGGGCAGCTTAAGTTAATAATGTAGGGTTAAAAAGAAGAGACTGAACTGGAAACAGAATAAGATCATTTCTAATTCCATGAATGGGAAAAGATGTAAAAAAAAAAGAGTGAAAAGAATATATTGATAGAAACCAGGATTCAGTTAAAGTGAGGCAGTAGGAAGAGCATCTGAAGAAAAAGTTAAATAGATAAGAGATTGTGTCAAGGGGGCCAACAGAGAAGGTGACAGCTGGAGTGACAGGGCAAAACTGGTCAGGAATGGGAGTCTGAGAGGGAACAGCAGGGAGGGATTTGTGACTAAGGTGCTAGGTTCAGGTAGGATGGAATATTAGGTTTGAGGCCCTCAATCTATAGGCACCAACTGGAATAAGATGCATGAGGGAAATGCAATATGGGGTGTTTGATCAGTTCACAATAAATATGTCTGGTCTACTCATCTCCCTTGGTCATGGTTGACTGCCCTAGACTGGGCCTATCAGATTCTCTTCCCTGAAATTTAAAACCTTTAAAAGAGATAGAAGGTAGTTGGAGCCAAGTCACTTTATAACACCCTTGAAAGAATATCCATGTTAACTACTGTTGATACTCTGGTTTGAACAAAACCTATCAACTTTTCCCCAAATTCTGAGCTGTAATCACCTATCCTTTAATAATTTCTCCATTTTTACTTTTTAAGCTGGAATCATTGGTGTTTCTTATCTGATTCAATATGGCTTCTGCCTAGAGCCAACTCTTTCATTTTGTAAATGAGGAAACTGAGGCCCTGAGAATATATTTTTCCCAGGTTATAAAATGAGAGAAGGTCAAGACCAAAACCCAATTTGCCTACTACTAGTACTGTGGGTGATATTTTTAAACACAGATTTAGAAAGACAACTACCAAAAGATTTATAATCTATAAGACTTCAGGTAAAATGTAGGTATGGATATAAAACATAACAGCTAAATTGAGCAGATGGAGATGAGTAATGAGTAAGAAAGAGCCGATGACCCACCAATAGGACCTAATTTTTATATTCTATCATAACAGGAAACCTGAACAGTCAAAGATTTCTATAAAAATTTAAGAAAAATATCTAAAACCATTGAATTAACATAAAACCTGAGTTTTAAAAAAGTAAATATAACAAAAAAGGTACAGAGTCAGCAGAAGGAAAGATAAATGTCAACACACAGACAAAATTATAAGGACCACGTCTATAATATAGAATATTTTTGGCACTATCCCATGCTTAAAAACATCTGTCTTGGTGTCCTTCACCAAATATTTTTGGACTATAAAATGCTTCTCATATTTCCTTGACTTTCTCCAATTCTGTTGCTATTTCACCTCCTCCATTTCTCAGAATCTTTGTAAGCTATTTTCCTGTTTTCCCTAGAAAGTGTCCTTCCCTTCCCAAAATTTTTACTTTATTCCCCCTTCCCTAGCAAAAAATCTTGCCACTAAATATTCATCTTTCCTTTCCTGTTTCCTTGGTGCTTGATACTTACTGTCTAAACATCCCTCATTAATATAAGACAGTATAAACTGGTACATTATAGCAAAGCTTTCCCAGGTACTGCTTCAGAAACAATCACAGAAGCTTTTTAAATAAAAACATTAACAAAAGTGATCTGTTTCTAAGACTGAGTATAAATACCACATGTTGCTCCCATGAAACCATTCATTCCTCTTTGAAAAGTAAAAATGAGAATTAAAGTCTATTTGTTCCAGATGGTCCAAACCCATGATGATAAATTGTACAGCCAGTGACCGATACGAAATATTTCAGATAAATATAATTGTTTTCTAGAAAAGGAAACTATATTATACACTAAAGAATTTCTTTAATTAAAAGGAAAGCTGTCATAAACCTAACAGGTAGAATATATCAACCAAAATGTAAACTGAGATTTTTGTCCCACTTATACATCAGAGAACATATAAATAATCCTAAAAACTACCACTTTATTCACTTGAAATTTATGAGAAGACATATGTGTAGTAGACAACTTACAGCAGTGGTTCTCAACCTGTGGGTCGCGACCCCTTTGGCGGTCAAACGACCCTTTCACAGTGGTCGCCTAAGACCATCTTGCATATCAGATATTTACATTACGATTCATAACAGTAGCAACATTACAGTTATGAAGTAGCAACGAAAATAATTTTATGGTTGGGTCACAACATGAGGAACTGTATTTAAAGGGCCAGAAGGTTGAGAACCACTGTCTTACAGCCTTTAGCTCTGTGTACTTCCAATCTTTCTAAAAATTACACAAATTCAATTTCACATACACATAGATTACATGAAAATACCCACTACTCAATAGAAGGAAAATAACAAATCTTGATGTTGTTTATACCAAGATTTAATAAAAAACACTCTTTAGAATAAAGAATATCATTTAATTTTCAACTACTCTAAATTGATATATGCTAGCTTCACTATAACCTAAAGCAGAGATTTATACTGAGATGGGCAGGAGGGATTTTCTCAACCCACCCCCAGAGGACATGTGGCAAGTCTTCAGACATTTTTGGTTTTCACAACGTTGGTGGCAGTTGGCAGTGGCTTGGGACTGATGTGCTGTGGGCATCTAGTGAATCAAGGGATGCTGCTAAATATCGTACAATGCATAGGACAGCCCTTCACAACCAAAAGTTATCCAGCCTCAAATGGTTGAGAAACACTGTGTCCTACAGAGAAATAAAATGGAAAGGACAAGGAATAACAAGGAATCACCAGGAGGCACTGTCTGCTGAGCTCTTCCTGGCAGTGAAGGAGCCACCACCTACCTTGGATGCCTGTGGCGTGGATATCACGTGGACCGTGCTGGGTTTGACTCCATTAGCTTTGGGTCGTTTATAGAGGGCAAATCTACTTTTCCTCCGACCTCTGTCTCCATTAGGTAAAGCACCATTGTACCTATAAACAAAGATGAAAGAGTTTACTTATTCAAAGATTTTTTTTTTTAAGTTTTAAGAAGGAAAGTTAGATGGAATAAGGAAAAAGATAGGAATGGTCATAAAGAATTGCCCACTAAATACCCCACAAAAGGAAAGGACTGCAAACAGACATCAGCTGTAATGAAATTCAAATCACTTCCAGAAACTTAATTTAGGAGTGATGTACAATGTAATTATAGGTTTTCTATTCTATAAAGTCAGACTCTTCAAATCTTTTTGTAAGGAGACAGAGTATAAATAAGCAAATGAGAATTCTACAGAGACTGTATTAGTGCTGGCTCAATTCAGCCAGCATCGTTGAATGGATCCCAGAGAAACACTCAAGATATATTACTAAATGAACTAGTTAGAAAATAGCATACTAATTAAACCTCACCTCTCATTCCCAAAACATGTTAATGTCTGTAGGATCTTTATTTGTAAGAAGACCAAATTTAGTTACTTGCATTCTTATAAGTTCTAAATTCTCTACCCTCATTCCCATTTCTATTTGAACCTTATGCTGTCAGGTTATCCAAGAAATAGCTTGCAAAAATTAAACATAAGGCCCATAAAGTGATCCAAAGTAAAAAAAGATGAGTTTTAGTCCACAAACTGCCCAATAACTTTAAAAGTCACCTGGAAAACATCTGATGTCCTTAAGCAGATTTCCTGTATTAACTAGAGGCCTGGTGCACAAAAATCTGTGCACTCGGCAGGGGAGGGGGTCCCTTAGCATGGCCTGCACCCTCTCATAGTCTGAGAGCCCTCAGGGGATGTCCTACTGATGGCTTAGGCCCACCTCTGTAATAGGCAACCAGGTGGGCCAATCAGTGGACAGCGCTGCCCCAATCACCCCACCGCTGCCGGCCTCCCTCTGTGGGAGGTGACCAAGCAGCCGATCAGGGGATGGCACCGGAAGGCACAGCCCCGCCTCAACCCCCAATCACCCCTCCGCCACCACTGGTAGCTGCCGTCTCCCCCTCCTTCACCATCCTCCCTCTTCCTGCTGGCACAGGCCTTGGCTGGCCTGGCGCCGCCTGCTCACCGGCCCCACCCCCCACCAACTGGTCATTCTGCTGTTTGGTCAATTTGCATATTGCGCTTTTATCATATAGGACTAGAGGCCCGGTGCACAAAAATTTGTGCACTCGGGGGGAGGGGGGGTCCCTCAGCCCGGCTTGTGCCCTCTCACAGTCTGGGACCCCTTGGGAGATAACAACCTGCTGGCTTAGGCCTGCTCCCGGGTGGCAGAGGGCACGCCCAATCCCTAGGTGCAGCCCCTGGTCGGGCTCAGAGCAGGGCCGATTGGGGAGTTGGGGCGCCGCCCCTGTCATGCACAGAGCA